TTTCCATATTGGTGTAGATAATGGTAGTAAGTTAAGTAAAAAGTCTGAAATTATATGAATAGTATAGTGTTGTCTAAGAATTTGCATTGTTATTATTATTTCTAATTGTAAGATTATTGGAAAAGTGAGTTATATATTATTCTGAATTAATACAGAGTTGACATCTTTTATATTGTTAGATATAGGTGAAAGTACTTGTGCAATTTGGGTAGATTTATTATTATTAGCTTTGTTTTCTTGCTCTGCAGTTTAAACAAGAGGATTTGTAATATGAATTTATAATAGTAGTAATTGTTTGAAATAGAAATGTCGTCAGAGTGTTTTTGCAATTTGTATAAGTTGTTGAGATGTTGTAATAGATTGTAATGTTAAGTTTGGCAAATTCTTGGCTGTCTATTAATAGATCAGATTTGTCAGTAGGGTTTGCTTGCATTATATAATTAGATATTGGGAATCAAATATGATATTATTGAGAAACTTCCTTAAGAAATTCTTTTGCTATTGTATTATTAGTTATTGAATAGGCATATTGTAAGTTGGTGCAAATGAGATCTGGGTTATTAGGCAAAAGTGGTTTGGTAATAAAGTAATCACTAGGAAGTAGTTTAAATATATGATACTCTCTTAGCTGTACAACTGCCTTAGCTAATGATTTTTGGATGTAAATGAGTTAAATGGGAAAAGATCTCTAACTTTGTAATTAAGTTCCTAATATGTAGTAAATAATAATTGTTTTGGTGATGGAAGTTAAAAATATGAATTTGGAATTACAGTAAAGATGTAATAGTCAGTCAGTTTGCATCTAAAATATGAGAAATATTGTAGTAATTGCCTGTTTGTAATTGAAAAATAAGTTTTCAATTCTGGAAGAAGTTCTTGATATCTTTCTGGCAATGTTGGAAGTTTTGCAAAATAGTTATCTGTAAGCTTATCAAATTTGAAGATTTTTTTTAGTGCATTGATAGTGACCCTTGTATATGATCTTTGAGTAATTGGAAGTATGAATGGTAATATTTCTTGAATTTGTCCAGAAATTTTGTTAGAGTCTGATGATAGAGGTATAAGCTTTTCTTGAAATGCACTATTAATTGTAGCTCAAATTGATGTAGGTATTTGTTTATTCTCATTTTGGATTTGTAAAAACCTCTTGTATAGTAAATGGTTTTGTAAATCATAAAGGAAATATAGTTGATAAAGTTGGTGTTTGAGAGATATTGTGATATAAGTATTTGTTTAAGCATAGTATTTATAATTTTATGAGTAACTGCATCTGTAATTGTAATTTAATTAGTTTGTTTATAAGCAGTCAAAGCATTATTGTATAGATTAGTATATTCTTTCTGGTGTGCTAGAGTAGTATTTGAATTTTTAGTAAAGTTGTAAAGAATCTGGTATTAAGATACTTGAATTTAAAAAATATTGTTGATAAGATTATAAATTGAATTAGTATAATAATAAGTTTATGATCAATAAAGTTATAGATTCCAATTGATGTTAGGAGTGCCTCAGCAATTGCTTCATAGATCCAGATTTGTTGATCAAATAGTGTTTTTATTTTATCAGTAATTTTTGGTTACAAAATATCTATCCATTCCAAGTTATTGAAGTGATGAAACTGAGGTATATTGAGCTGCTTTTGTGTAATTTGGCTATAAGTTAGCTTAGTAGTATTTTATGTATTCAATATTGTAATCATGGATGTTGATGATGATGTGATGATATTGTTAGAGGATTCTAGGTTGAGTAATCTTTCTGTATTAAACAGTTATAGTTTAGATTGTTTTTTGCTTTGTTGTTGACCAGTTGTTGTTTGTGTTACTTTAGCTGATGATTTGCTAATTCCTGCAGCAGTATGTTGTGAGAAGAAGTGGCATTTATTTCTTCTAGTATGGGTTTTGTGTTTAGTCTATATAATACTGTTTGGTATCTCTACTGTGGACTAAGTTTGTATATTATTTACTGTTGTATCTGCAATAAGATCAAATATTAATTAATCCTCTTGTATAATATTACTTGTTTGTGATAGTTCTTCTTCTATATTTAGTTCTATAATCATATTGTAAGGTATTATTAGAAAATCTTTACTGTATTTAGGTATCTTGTATTCCTTCTGTCTATTTTTATATAACTGAATAATTAAGTTAAGATTATAACTTCATGTATTTCTGAGAAATTTGGTGTTGATATTTACAGAATTGTTTCTGATAGTTGTGAAGTCAAAAAGTATTAATTGGAAAGCTTCTTTATGCTTATATAACCATTATATTGGAAAGGTAATAAGATTGGAGACATGACCAGATTTGATAAGATTGACAATAATATGATATTTATTAGCAAAGTCAAAAACAAGAAAGGTAACAGTAAAGGTGAGTTTGATAGAATCTTTTATGTTAATACTAATAAACTTTTTTGCATATTCGATAGGAGAGTTGGTAGTTAAGGTTGTAGATAAAGGGTTTTTTGAAATAGTTAATTTGCTTATGAAGTAGGCTAAAGAAAAAGTGAAAAAGGTTCTTTGAGAGGTCATTTGGTTCAGAGTTTGTGGTAGGTTAGTTTGTAGGTTTTTTATTATTTTTTTAGTATTTTTTGGAGTTGGTATCTTGTGTTTATATGCTGAGTTAATAAAAATGTAAAGGTCCTTAAGACCATTTTTACTAAACTGTGAGTTGTTTTCTACAATACTGTTTTTGGTATTATTACTATTCAGGTCTGCTAGTAAGAGATTTTCTAAGATTGATACCTTTTTTAAGTTATGTTTAGTGTATAGAACAAGTTTAATTAAAAGCTTAAGTTTACTTTACTTAGTAGTTATTACTGTATTCTTGCTAGAAAAGTTTTTACTTTTTGTTCAGTTTTAGTAAAATAATCTATAGGAAGAGTTCATTTTCATAATAATTTAACTTGGTTTTTTGTTATTACTAGAACTAACACTTGTAATCAAAATTATTTATTAAAATACTTTTATTGTTGTAATGTTTACTCTAATCCTAGTATCTATTTTTTTAATATCTTCTTTATCTTCTCTTAATAACTGTTATTCAAAACTAATAGAACTCTTCAGACTACCAATCCAGATAACCTATATGATATATTTATATTTTTTTTTCTTTAGTGATTCTAGTAGCTTGGTTGGTGCATATGCTTCTTTTACATATTAGTTATCTGATTTATTTGACAATTTCTTTGAAAGTGTTTTATAAGTTTCCATTAATCTAACATCATCATTAAAAATTAATACTTTTTCTTTACTTAAGATTTCTAAATAAGCTTCTGTCTTCTCAATTTTTTAATCTTTTATGCCAGATGATTTTATTATAAATTTATACTTAAACTTTATATAATATTGTTTTTTTACATTCTTCTATATATATGTAACATTACACTTCATATAGATGTTTCAAATTTCTAATATAAGGTAAGATCCAACTTAATATATCTAAGATTACAGATATTTAAATATAACCAATTAACAAAAAACAGTTATTATAATATAGTATAATTTTCAAAATTTATTGTCTATGAAAATTGAACCTTAAACCTGTTACTTGAAGATTGACAACCTATTTACTCATTAGATTACTATGCTCCATAAATATTGTATTTATCTAAGTTAAGATATTTATAATTAAAAACAATAAAAATATTACAATAAGTAATAACCAAAAAAGATTATTTATAACACAGTTTCATTTATATTATAAAAAGAAGTATTCAAGAAACAGACAGATTAGTGCATAATCTATTTAAAATAATACTAAGATTAAAAAAAATTGCAAACTAGTTGTAACAAAAAAGACCTGACTTGAGATATGTACTACTAGTACCTAAATTAGGAAGTTAATAATAATAGCAGAACATTGATTTTAGATACATGCTAGAGTCACATCCTTTGAACATACTAAAGATGATAACTCATAAGAAATGAATGATTAGATAGACCAATTTGAAAGATGTTAAAAATAAATTATGAAATATAAGAAGAATATACAGATTACTTAATATAATTAAATGTGAAGCAAATATCCAGGTTACGTGTAAGTAAAACACAATACAGAACTCTGGTAGATTTAGATCACAGATAAATATTCTGAGTCCCATGTTGTAATATAAATATATAGAGTAATAGATAATGTATAATGTAAAAAATTGTATAACTATAGCAATATGTACTAATAAAGTCTAAAGACATGACCTCATCTTAACACCAAAAAAAAACAATAGAACAATAGGATAAGCGATAGAAATTAGAATATAATATAATTTTTATCAATAGAACAAGAAATTGACAACACTGTCAATAATATAACTATCTGTAATGCGGATTTTACCTTGCTGCTTACAGTAATCATAAGATTAGGATGGCTTTAGACTTTAAGATTTTAAGTTACATAAATTTTTATCAAATTTGATTGGTCAATCAGGTTCGTCAGTTTCGTAAATTTGTATTTCTTAAATTTTTTTGACGAACCTCTAGTTTCGTATAACAACATTAGATTAGGCATTATATGAATTTCACTTTTCGAGGGGAGAATTAGAACGAAACACTTTTGAGACTGTATTAACGAGTTCTGCTTTATCGAAGGTAAGACTTGGTCGTTTATATATTTTACAAGTACATACACTAAAGTAACCATTATTTGTTCTTTCAGATCTTTTTTCCTATTATCCGTTAGATATCTTCGAATCAATCGTTCCATAAATAAATAATGCAAATAGTAAAAATAAAATAAATCAAAACTGTACTATGTTGGATACATTGTAGATCGGGAGAAGGGTAAAGTTGCTTTCACAATGGTATAACTATTACTCTAGTAGCAAATATATGGAAATTACGTCATATATTTAATCATGTTATACGAACTGCTATTTACCCGATCCTGGCGTTACGATTACACGAAGTACTAAATATACTGCACAATATTATCAATGGCAAATGCATAAAATGAATAAAAAAAATTTTTTACGATAAATAAGTTGAAATAAATTAATAGAAAAATTTTTTAAAGCCTTCTTAACGTTGTTACAATTTCTTCAGATATTTTTTCTGTTAGTTCAATCGAACTACCTATTAATGATTCAGATGAAATTGACGGATTTAAAACAAAGAGATGATGAGGAATATTGATAAGAATCTTTTAAATGAACAGGCAAATACCTTGAACAACATTTTGTTTATCAGAATTGTCCTTTTCAACCAGAACAGAGGGTGCACTTAACTTATTACCGACAGAGGAATTAATCGATGATAAATTATTAGATGGATTTACTCGAGATGTGGTTTTTGGAAAAGAGAAAATTTTAATTAATAGCATGTATCTTAACCACTCTAAGAGAGAAGGTTGTGAAACTATACCATTATTTGCTCTATTATCAATGGTATTATTTTTATTAATATTATTATCAATAATAATATCACTTTTAATAATATCAGCATTATTGCAATTTAGATCATTTGATTTTACTAGTGCAATGGCTTTGTTGTGAGATTTATGAGGGTAATGAGACTCATAAGAGTTAACAGTGGAGATTCACCATTGTAATTTAATAGCCTGGAAAGTACGAGTAACTGCAATATCTTGTGAAAATACTAAAGCATTCAGTAATCCTAAGGTGTAATAGATAAGGTGTAATAGATAAAATCAATAATCAAAGAATGTTCAAATAATAAAGAATATATATATATAACGTGTAAATACCTTGAAGTGATAAGCCAATAAAGCAAATTAACAAAACTACATAAGGGATCTCATGATTAATATGATAGTAAGTTTGAGTGAAACCGCCAAAAATTTGAGCTACCGGCAACACTGGATACCACATGACTCTTCTGACAACAGATGAAATTCTAGCCTTACTAATTAAGGGGAGATGACTAGATGACCGAGAAGTCGAAGAAAAATCCAAAGTATCGAATTGTTTTGCTACTAAGTTGAGTTTTCTAATTATCATAATAATAACGATCGCACAATACAAAATAGATGCATCCATCCAACCGAAAAATGTAGTCCATTCCCATATTAAAATATATTGTTGACCAGCACCACGATACCAACAACCACTGTAATAAAAATTAATCAATCTGAATATATGAAATAAAATATATAATGCCAAAGCAAGACAAAAGAGCCAGGCACTATTAAGGGTATGGGCATAAATTGCCGGACATAGTTTCGGGACAACAAAAAATTTTATAGTAATGCAATAAACAAAATATTTACTAGAACTAGTAATGCAGTAGAATGCCCATGCCCGTGTCTAGTGATGCAGTGGAATTATTTCTAATTCCTCAGCTATGAGGAATTGACCATTAACAATTTTAGTAATTCCACAATTTAGGCAGACGGTACATTTTGATGCAAGAATTTACAGGATGTCAAAACTGCAACTTTTGCATAAATTGTGGAATTACTAAAATTGGAAATGTTTTTGTCGCAATTGTTGAATTACTAAAATTAGAAATGTTTGCCACAATTAGGGAAATAATTCCCCTGCATCACTAGCCGTGCCCATACATGCCTGTACTTTTATTGTACATAGGCAAGTACCCAGTCTCAGACCCTAAAAATAGTATGTGTGTACAATTCGATATATAATAATATGATACTATACATACCCAGTAAGCTCATCAAGACCATATATATTAGCGGCAGCAGGAAGTAGAGAGAGTAAAAGAGCAAAAGAAAATGCAAACATAAAATAATAATTTTCAAAATTATGGCTTTTATATTCATTTATAAACGTTATATGAAGGTTCTAAATTGAAAAAAAAATTGAAATTGAAAATGAAAATAATTATAATACATGTTGCGACTGATGCTGAAAACAGGGGTACCGAAAAATTAATCGCAACCCAATTATTACGCAATAATAAATTATTATAATTGTTGTAACAATTAGTGATAAGAATAATTGCCATTAGCCATATGGATGTGATGAATCATTGAATATGACAAATAAGAATTTACTAATTAATTATATTAGTTAATCTTTATTTGTCACCCAAATGATTTATCACACCCAAAATTGACTGCGCCACCAATCAATTAATTGAGTTTAAATAATTGCAATTAATGACTCTCACAATCAATTATTCGGTAGGACTGTTTGAAAATATAAGCACTGTAAAATTCACATATATCAATTCTAACCCTAAACACTAACTTAAACAATTTCAGCATCAACCGCGACAATACATACCAAAGCTATACAAACGATTAAAAATAGTGAAGAAAGAGCAAGAAATACGAGTGCCCAAGCCTTATATATAGAAATTAAGAAATTAAAAGAAGCTATTTATATCAAAAAAGAAGAGAATGCTAATAATATCTTACCAGGTATCCACACAAAAAACCGGGAGTAGCCTCCCAAACAAGGTTAAATAAAAGATGACCAGAATAGGCTATATCACAGAATAAGGCCGCAAAACTTAAACGAAATGAAACACGATCCGCGAGTTTAGGATAATATGTTCGTATGAAAACAAATGTCACGCATGAGGCAACAGAAGAAATGAGAGAAATGATATTCAGAGGAATACATAATTTAGATATAAGGATGAATTGATCCTTGTTTAGCTTTATTGGTGTGGTAGAAGCCATTGATATGTTTTTAGAATAATAATTGAATAATTTAGAAGAGATTCAATCCGATTCAAATAATTTACTGATAATTTACTTGTATGGTTTATATATATGTAAATAGTCACAGTAATTTTAGGGTTAGTTTTGCTCTGATTCACCTGGATAAAAATTTTTCATAATTACTAAAACGCTTTACCGCTTATATTTCATTCCCTTAAAAACTGACTAATTGATTAATATATAGTGTTTAAATAAAAATGCTTTATGCCTCAAAAACCCTTCCACAAACTCTAATTATAATCTTAAATACTAACCCAACATGAACAATTTATGCAAAATGTTTTATACAAAACTTAAATGCATAACAGATGCCAAGTGCGTTTATAATAAATGAATTTATTCTAACACCTTTATGGTAAAATGTGTCAAGTGACTAAAAATTTATTGCATAAATGAGTAGCACAAAATGATGACATTAACGTTAAGGAATATCATAATTTAAAAAAAATAACGTACCTCAGAAATGAGTGACAAAAGGTTTCCCTTTTCGTCACTCAAATAAGTAAGTATGAAATTATTATTTTTAATAATGGCTGCTCAAATTTATCAGAAAATGAAATAAAATTATTTGAAATAAAACAATAAAAAGTCATCTATTTCATCGAATTAGGTTTCTGCATTTAAACGCCTTTTTATACTTTATTTTTACACATGCATGTACTGTTTAACATGTTTTAATAATAATCTTACACTAACTGTATAATTTAGTATGTTATTAGTTTAGATACATATTTGTTAGCAAATTGTCACTTGAAATGATGTCGCTAAATAAATTGTCGGTGAAATGATTACTGGCAAAGTAATAAAGAACCATCCTGCATATTTCTTAACGCTAAATTAATAAGTGGACGTAACAATGTTTAGGTAATAAACTTGAAACAGGTCTTGCAAGTTATATCTTAATTACCATGTGTATCTTAGTGTAAGTTTGCAAAACCATGTAAGCTACATGTAAGCAAATCATGTAACAGTAAGTTACATGTAAGGAAATCATGCAAGTTAAAATGTAACTTACAGATTTGCTCAACCCTTGTACACATTAATGAGTAGTATTTTTTTCGTCAACTACTGCATATAGAACATAAGAGTAATTGGATTGGATTTGATAATTTTGGACGATACCAAAATCGACGAATCCAAACACTAGACTAGCTCACGTGATAAAGTTAAATTTTGGTGTAATATTAGCATATTTCAGGAGTTTAATTCGTGATACATATCATATCAGAAGTTGTTTTGATTGGTTGTCAAAATACACCGGAAAAATCTCGATCGTACCCCGGATAAAGTTTTGGTCATGCCCCGATAAAATTTTATTACTAATGAAACTTTCAAAAAATAGTTAATACCTTCTATAATCTTTAATACATTAATTTGATTCCATAATAACAACTTTAATTAATATCTCAAGAAGAATAATTAACGTACATTAATTATATAATAAACAATATTTTAATTAAATTTCATCATACACCATTAAACATGGATTATAAGATACGCCACTATAAATTTGTATTTATAAGCTACATTATACACAGTAATTTAAATAAAACAGCAACATATTTACTCACCAATTTCTTAAGTCGTCGAACCTTTACTTCTCATCTAGTTTTGAAACTACTACATCATACTACATCCCAGGTTAAAAATAATAAGTCTCAAGGTAAGTACTAACAACACAAGTTTGTTGTTATAAAAAAATTAATGACATGACGATTTTTACTTAAAATTACATTAAGATTGTCGATTAATCGGTTATGATAATCGATTTTGTAATTAAAATGGATTTTGATAAAGTAATCGATTTTAATAAATAAAATCGATTTTTATTAACGAATTATTTCTTAAGTAATAAGTAATACTAAATCGGAAATTATTTATTGTAATATATTTATTAAATTTAAATTTATGAAATTTTTTAAAAAATTGAAAATTTAAGAATTACAAAAAAAAAAAATTTAAAATTAAAAACCTAAAAATTATAAAAAAAAGTATAAAAATAAAAAATATAAAAAAATATAAACCCGAATTCTTAAAATTAAATTATAATTTTATATATTATATTATATTATATATAAAAAAATATAAACCCGAATTCTTAATTATATTATATTATATATTATATATTATTTATATTTTATTATTTTTTTATATATTAAATTATATATTATAGTATTATTTATATTTTATTTATTATACATATTACATTGTTTTATATTGTTTACAATTTTATAAATAAAAATATTATATTTAATAAGTTATATTCAATATTAGTATAAAATTGATCTATATAACAGATTAAATATATTAGAAAATGATAAAATAATATTCATGATGTAATATATTTTAATCAAAGATGCTAATTAACTTAAATAAATCAATTTTAAAAAGTTTATATTGTTACTGGCAAATCAGTCAAATTACATAATAAATTGTCACTATCGAATGGGGTATGTCATGTAACATTCTAGAGGCAGAATGATTTGGCACTGGTCTAAAGCAATGATTAAAAAGCATTATTAAGAGAGTTAGGATAAGGTAAGTGAAGAAGTCCTGAAAGAGCATTTTACTTTGTGAATTTTATTTTTTCTAAGTAGAAATTTTTAGAGTCTTTATTTATTAATTTTATTACTTTTTGTAAGACAGGGAAGGCACACACTTTGTTCAAATAAAAATAATTCCTTTTTATAAGGATTTTATAGAGAAGCAAGAAGAACATTTTCAAAAAATTCACTATTATTCTAACACATTTTGTTCTATTATCTCAAGTCTTTTTCACTCTTTTAGAAATTCTTTTACCTTCACAGTCTCTAGTCCTCTAACAACATTTAGTATCCAAAACACTTTCACATTATTCTCCTCCTATATTTATGTAGAACCCAAACTAATTTATTTCTTTTCAATTTAACTCTTTATTTCTTACTTTTTACAGCCTTTACTTCTTGCTTATTAATGCTTTCTTTTTACCTTACAATCAACATTCTTACTCCTACAACTATTCCATTAATTGGAAATGCACCCACATTGTCACAAGCTTTATTCCACAAGGCAATATTAACCCATTAACTCATTTTAGCCTTTATTTTTGTTAATTAGGTTAATGCAGATTACTTTAACATTTTAGGCCTGACAATGGTAATTGTTCTGAAGACTTAGTGACTATGGTCATGATCTCATGCAGCATTGATTTGGGACTTCATTATTCATTCATTTTAAGCAGTTCTTCAAAATTGGGAGGTACAGGTTTGCTACTAACAATATTGATTAATTAATTTTTTTATTTGATTAATCAATTAATCAGTTTAAATTATTAGATTATAAAATTAATTTTGATTTCAAAATCAATTCCCATCCTTACTCTATATAATAAATGCTTTATTTGTATATTATTTTCATTCAGATTTTAATCTGAACTATATACAATACACAATATATCAATAAAGCAATAAATCATTAAATTAATAAATCAATTAGCATGACTTAAATAATGCAAAAAAAAACATTATTAGAAAACTATAGAAATGGTGCTATTACCAAATACCTATGTATAGTTCTTTACACTTTGTCATGTTTACAATTTTCATATTTATTTTGAATCTTATCTACTTCCTTTTGTAATTTCTGAAACATTATAGGTATGCTTTGCCCTCTTATTATTCTTAAGGCAGTATGAGGATTTTACAGCTGCTTCATCTTATCAAGAACAATGTGGGGTTTTTACAGTTGTTTCTTATACCTTTCAGAACAGTGTAGGGTTTTCACAATTGTTTTTTTCTTACTTCTTAGTACAGTGTGGGGTTTTTACAGCTGCTTTATCTTACTTCTTAAATGATGCAAATGAACACTTTATCCTTTAATTTTAATTTCACAAAAGTGTTTTTTGTAGCATTGAATAGCATTAATAGGTATATCTGTTTGATTAGTTATCTGAATGAATTTTTCTTAGGAGGAATAGAAAAAAGAACATTTCGATTAGCTAGAAAATAAGGTTTTAGGCAACTACTCAAAGCAGCAAAAAAAAAGCACAATATTTCTTTTTTGAATTTTGTAGCTTATTTATATTATCATTAGACTCTGAAGATCAGTGAACTCATAATTTATGCAAACTTATTTGATCTATAACTTCATATCAGCATTATTTGGTTCAACATGTCAGGTAATTCTCATGATAATATCTCTCTTATGCCTACATCACAGTTGGTCTTATTATTTTTATTCAGATTTTAATCTGAACTATATACAATATACAATATATTAATAAAGCAATAAATTAATAAATCAATAAATCAATAAATCAATTAGCATGACTCAAGTAATGCAAAAAAAAAAACATTATATAGAAAACCATAAGAATAAAAAGAAAATTATCTTTTAACTTTCCAATCTTCTAAAACCTCATCTTTACCAATGTATTTATCTGTGTTGTCGCAATCATTCTTAAATATAGCAATATTGTTTTTGATACTCAGCTACCTATAGCTATTATTTAAAGTAGTAAAAGGCCTGCCTTCATTACAGCCATTGCACCACCAATATGCAAGCTATGGCTTGAATATCTTTCTCTTAAACTGCATAACATGCCATTTGTTTAACAATTGAACTGATGACCCTTACAGTTAGTTTTTATTTTTATTTTACAGAAACACTATTTTGCCTGAATTTTCTCTAATCTGTAAATACTATTTCTACAGTCTGACAGGGCAGAATTTTGAGTTAGTTGGTTCAATTAAAATAAATTTTTCTGTGTCCTGTTGGGCGATCTTTAATCTGTTTATATAAATTCATAGAAGGTTATTCTTCTTTTTGAAATTACTCAGAGAAAGGGCTACTAATTCTTCTACTCTTTGCATTATGCACAAACTATTTGCTACTAACATACAATTATATGCCTATATTTTATAATTAGTTACCTTTGGTAGGTTGTTTATATAAGTTTTCAATGCCTCAATAAGTAATAGATCATACAGCCATGTGGTTTTTCTATTATTTGCTACTAGGTTTAACAATAACTTTACCAATCTTTTTGCTTTATAGTTCTTTGTTAGGTCTGGCAAATTTTGTGCACTGTGTTGATTTGCTATTTCTATTAAAACAAATGTAGGCTTTATTGTTTTCCTATATATGTTTAACCAAATTAAATATGCTAACATACTATCTTATAAGGTTGGTAAATATACTAGTCTATATGCCTTGCAAAAATTAATAAAATTATTCTAAACTGCCTTTAACTTATGATTATACAATGATTTTGGTAGTAATATTTTGTATGCTTGTGACAGAAGTTTCTCTAAAACAGCATCTGTACTGCTATAAACTTCCAATTTCAGTTGTTCTATAGTTCTGATGATTTTTTTATATTTGAAAGAAAACTCTCATCTGGATCTGGCAGTAAATGTTCCTGGTTTAGATGTCATAACATGATTGGCCACCAGAGACTAAAAGCCACACTGGTACTATTATTGTTGTAGTTGCTTTGCATTCGATTACATAGTGAAACACCTGATCTAATTGACCCAACAGAGCATACATGTAATTTATCTCTCCTTATCAATCTTGTGTAAAACAATTGACAGCTTCTGTAGTTGGGCATTGCCAATGTGAATTGAACCTTAAAAGGTGAGTGGTAACTTTGCTTGCCATTCGATCTATTGTGTATAGGCCCCATGCATGGTTTAATAGTTTGAAAATATCCTTTCTTAGACTCTAATCAGATTTAACATAATGTCTTATAAGTTCATCTGCTAAGTTTTTTGCACTTGGTACCTATTGGAATTTATAAATCCAAATGTCTATGTTGTTACAGAAGTTCCAAACCTTTCTTATGTATTCCTTCTGTCAAGGCATCTTCTTTTCTGACTTCATCATTTTTCTTACAACTTTGTTATTTATAAAAACTATTATCCAGTAATGTGCCAGTTCTTTGCCAAATGATTAAAAACTCAACAATGTTGCTTTAAATTCTAATTTCTCTATGTCCACATGTTGGTGTTTCTTTTTCCAGTTTTCAAATACCTTGTGTACAAATAGTATTGCTGACTAGCCAGTCATTGAAGCATCTACAAACAGTGGGAGTATGCATGAGGATTTTTATACAGGGCAATCTTTTCTCTTTTTCAAATTTTGGACTAGCCAATTCATATTAACTTTTGCCCTTTTTGACAACTTTATTTTTTAATTCCACTTTTATGGCTTATGATGCTGCATTAATCAAACTGTAAAACTCTAGGCACTGCACTTTTGCTGGTGCAAATACTCTGCTTAGACTTATTAACATACCTGTTACAGATGCCAAAGACTGTGCCATAACCCCTGTTGAATTGCTAAATGTTTTAAAGCTCACTGTGTTATCTTCAATTTTTTGTCTAGAATTATTACTAATGTCTTTACTGTGTTCAATATTAGGCTATAAAATTTGGGTCTTTGTGAGTTCCCAACTTCTTTTCTTTGCCAAAATTAGGCCACCTAACCTCAAATCTGAGGCAATCACATAATCCCTTTGATACTTCAAGATTTTGATCTCTGGATAGGCAATCCAGATGTCATCTACATGGTTCTTACAGTAGATGCCTATTGAATGCCAATATCTGATTAGCACTCGCATTACCTTCGAAAAGATCCACATCACCTGACTTAGCCGAATGGCAAAACATAATAATGGTACCAGTCCTCTTTGAATCTGAAACTAGCAGTTTTTGCATATTCTCTGTTATCAGAAGGTGATGATAACTATCTTTTAAATCCATTGTTATAACTCATCAGTTTTTCTTTACTGTTTAAATAAACATTTTTAGGTTTTTAAAATAGAACAATTTGTTAGACAGGGTTCTGTTCAGTCTTTGCAGGTCTATGATAAGCCTCTATTTTTCCTTTCTGGTTTTGGTTTTAGAAATATAGGGCTTACTTCTGGCAAGCAGTTTGGTCTTTGAGCTTCCTTTCCCACCTTGACTATTGCCTTTTCTCTAATAGTCTTGTCAACTCTGTTATCAACCAATTTTCCTGTTTTTGTATAAAATAATATTGCTGTAAGGTGTTCAACAGTGATAGATAATGCTAGCCTTTGAGAAATAATAGAACTCTCTGTTTGAGCTAGCTTATTACTAAAAGTAATGCCTTTATTTTTTCTCTCCAATATTCTACTAATGCTGGTTTTGTCAAACTTCCTACTTCTAATTGTTGTGAGGCCCAAGGATAGTCAGCTGTAATTCCTACTTTGCACAACTTGTCTTGTTTTTCAAGGCTTACTTGGCTTTTTTTTAAAAGACTGTCTGTCTGATCTTGAAACACAATTATTTGCATAGTGTTCCAATCCATCGCAATTATAACATGTGAATGCATTATGCCTTTCACATTCTGTGCTATATTGTCTGTCTCTTTCTTGTTCTGTAATATAGATTTCTTGTCTTCAATTGGACTTGTTCCTAAAATCTGATCTTTTATAGAAACTATACCCTCAAAAAAACTATCTTTTATTTGCATACTTTCTTTTCTCTTGCTTCAAATTTGCAGCCTATCATGCTTATTTGATTGTTTTACCATATGCAGACAATCCTTTATTTTTGGACTATAGTAACTTCATTACAACCTTTTAGCTATATTTCCTTACTATATTTAATATCACTGTTTTATTGAGTATTCTTGATCTTGCACTTTTAATATGATGAATAGCTTCATCTTCTGTTGTAGCACTTAATACTAAGTCTAATTATTCCTAATAGTACAAAGGCATTGTATTTAAACTGATCTCTGAATCTTTTGAACTTCACATCAGGCCAGTTTTTGTAAATCTCCAACCTCATATTCGATACTTCAACACTTTCTGTGATGATATTTACATTCTCTTACAAGTGCTTAATCTTCTTCAATAATGCTTTTATGTCAACTGCATCTTTTGACTCTTTTTTTATCTTTTTCAGTCTTTTTTTATATAACTTATTATCACTAAGGAGTCTTGATGATATGCTAAACACTGGACTTTCACAATGAAACATATCCTTCTGATTTGCCTCTTCTTCACCATAAGTGGTCTCCAATGCTTCAGTTTTCATATTTTTTCTCCAACTATTTTGTTCACTCTGGGACTTGTCACTAGCAAATGTAAGACATTCTATCAAATCAGCCTTATTTCCTTCTGTGCTCAAATTTAGTCATATGCAAAGGTTCTTCAAAGCTTCAACTAACATGTGTGAGCATTACATATCACTTCATCATATTTCTGTTTTGTCTGTTTGTTCTGTTTGCTCTAAGACATGTTTGCACATTTTTTCAAGAACTATATCCATAAAAGGAATAGAAGTAAATTTTACTGAATTTGTATATTTCTAAATGTAGAATGTATAAAGAATATTTTTATTAGCCAGAAAATAGGGTTTTAGGCAACTACTCAAAGCAGCAAAAAAAAAGTACAACTTCACTTCTTTGGATTTTGTGGCTTATTTATATTATTATTAGACTCTGAGAATTAGTGACCTTATAATTCATGCAAACTTATTTGACCTATAACTTCATATCAGCATCATTTGGTCCAACATGTCAAGTAATCCTCATGAAAATATTCCTCCTTTGCCTATGTTACAATTGGTCTTAGAACTGCATATATCATTTTTAAATTTTGTGTAAATTATTAAATAAATATTATACTATGAACAAGTATAATTAATAGTATGTTTAAATCCACTGGCTTTTTATTCATGACTTTGTCATAGAGATTTTATTAAGCATATATAAATTATAAATATAATATCCACCAAACTAATTAATCTATTGATTAAGTAGTATTTGTAAGAAGAGACAAATAAATATTTATTAGTCAGTGTGCTGTTTATTACATAATTTCTTGTTAGTAGTGACCTTCTTCTCTAAAAAATTATGTAATAAATGGCTTACACCTTAACAAATAAACCAGACTTAATTCTAAATTTGTATAATAAGAAATTCATAATAACTGTTATACTTACCAATCAACCTGAAGACTAAATTTATACTATTAAAATTGTCATTTTTAAAGAATTTGACTGGCCAAAATTACTTCTGGGCATATGTTGATCCATTTTGCAAAAAAGGTTTATGCAAGACATAGTACAAAATGATAATATAATAAAAGACAATAAATGATAGTCTGAAGCCTTGTTTACAATAGTAAATTTTAATCTGAATATAGTGCTGATATATTATTTCCTGTAATTTATCTTATTTATACTTTATCTAAAAATATATGTTATAGTACAGGACAGTAAAAGACATCCAATTAATACATATAAGCACCAATTTTTAGTTCTTATATAATTACTTTGATTGGCTAATTTTTGTGTAATTAATTTTGATTAGTTAAAAATATATGTATGTTTTCTTTTTTTTTATATTAAATGCCAATTTTTTAAACTCATATAACTTTAATCTTTTATAACTTTTTTAAAACAAAGAATAAAAAAAAATTCTTTGCCAGAAATGTAGTTTATCCAAAAATCTATCAATTTGTCAGAGGTTTTTTGATTTAATCTGTTTTAAAAAAGTTATAACACTTCAAAGTTTTTATTAATAAACATTAGATGTCTTTTACTATCCAGTACTGTGGAAATTCTGTTGATAATTGTATTTTAAAACAAAGTTTATAACATTATTATATTCAAAACATTAAATTTGCATGACAATCTAATATTACTATTAATAGTTATAATAATTATTGGTTGATTAATTTGCAGATGGATTGTTGAACCAACATTAAAAATAAGTGGTTTTGCTGATTACTCTAGAAAAAAAATTTCTTGAAATTATAGTTGGTGGTAGAATTAATTTTGAAATTATTGAATTACAGCACATACTGTATTTTTTGCCTTAATTGTCATAATTATAAATATGAAACCAAAATTAAGTGTATCAACCAAAAGCCTGAATTCAAATTCATCAGAAACAGGTCGTATTAATTAATACTGAAATGTTCCAATATATACTGACCCTGAATTTTGGTCAATTTTCTGAATTTTGGCATTGCTATATAATTACACTAATTAGATGCTATGTTATAATTAATTTTTTCATATGATAGAATGCTATAATGCTGTAATTAAGTAATTCTGCTACCACCTATATTTGGAATTGTTTGGAAAATTCCAAAACTATCCAATTTTTTGTTCAGAAAATTGACTATGTTTTGGATATTTTAAAGAATGTTTATTGATGCATATGCTCTTTTACATTTTTTATATAATAATTTTTAATCAAAAAATTTCTAATTTTACATTCTAAACTAACAATATAATGAAACATAAACTTCTGTTCAGAAAATTGAACAATTTTAAAATACATTTTTCATAAGGTTAGTCAAAAATATTATTGGTTTTGCTAAATAGTCAATATATTTTGCTTGACTATGCATTTAATGCATCTACAATATTTTAATCCTTACTGGCATTGATTTATTGTCTGTTTGAAGTAGCAGATTTTGAATCATATTAATGGATTTTGGATCTTATCACTACTGTATAAATTGTTAACCATACAATGAATTAATATATAAGATAGCTGCACAACCTTGACTTGCAAAACCAGGAACAGAAGGCATGAAGAGTATTGGTATTGCATTTAGTAAATTTATAGGTTGTTGTATATGTAGTGTGATACTGGATATCATGACTGATTATATGAAAAATATACAAAATGTAATAAGTTACATTTGTAACTAGAAATAGTATTTCAGATTCAAAAGGTAGGATGAAAGGAGAAATTACACATCCTTAAAGATATTATATAGATCAGTGTAAATAACATTTAGTAGTCTTAAAGTAATAAAAAGTGCAAAGTTATATTTGTAAATAACAAATTTAGTATTATAAATAAAGGCCAAAATGGCCCTAAGAAATAATATTTCTTATTTGCTTGATCAATAAACAAGTCCCAATACATTGTATTATTCATAATAAAAACCCTAACAATATACCTGGCATAAATCCTGTAAACTTCAATAACTATCATTGTTCATTTAAGCCTTTGTACATGTGACTTATCCTACTTGTATTCATTGACCCAAAGTAACTGAAAGTCTTAATTGCCTACTAGCCAAATCTAACACCCTCTTTGAAAAAGTTACTTATCATATGTTATATGAGATATTAAATTGTAAAATAACAAAGTCACAATCTTCTGAATCCAAAGTAGTGATGTGTAAATACCCAACAGATTTTTACTGATTGACATCAATTGACCAATTAGATTACAAGATTAGGTATAATGTTAAATCAAAAAAAATTTCAAAAAAATTTCTATCAAAAATTCTCTATATGTTTAGAGTTTAGAGTACTTTTTAAAAAAACAAAAACTAATCATAGTGAAATAAAAAAAGCTGCATAGAAGAACTGTAGGACTTCATTTAAAAAAGTCAGTATAGTAATAACTTTTTAAACCCCAATAAAATCAACTTAATACTAAGCTAATTTTTTAAACGAATAAAAATTAGATCTTATTTTTGATTATAGAGTCTTACAGATCTAATAAAACTTTCTATATAGTTTTTTTTTTACATTATTGTAGTTGGTTTTTGTTTTTTTAATAAGTACTCTAAACTGTATAAATAATGTAAAATTAAATTGAATTTATTAACCAATCAGATGAACTTCAGGCTATAAATGTTTATATTAACAATCATGTCTTATAATTTACTTAGAGGTTGGAAGTTAGTTATTATAGTAAATTTTTGTGTTATTTACATTTTTTTACAATTTCTTATGTTTTTTATATTTGTTTTGTTATATGAGATTCTGTGACTTTATTTAAACCAAATAGGGCAGAAGTGATTTTTAGCGATCTTCAGCCTGGAATTTTCTTTAACATAAGAGTATTACAAAATTTCCATCTGCTACACAAAATTTTGGTTTAAAATATTTAAAACAAGTATTGCTATAATTATAAATCTGACCCTAATGTAACAACTTTAAGGCTTTAAAAAAATTGTCAATCAGTGACTTGGTGTGATTTTTAGAATTCAGACTAGCTAGTATAATTCTGGCCAGTTAGTATAATTCTGATTAGTTTGCATAATGCTGCAGGTAGAGTTGTTAAATTTCAATATTTTTATGTAAATTTATATACAAATTGATAAATTAAAATTTTATGTAATTGTAATTTTGAACACATAACATTTAATTTTAGAGACCAAATTTTTAGCAATTTTATAAGTCACAATTTGAATTGTATATTCAAATTAAATAATCAATAATACTGACTGAAGCTTTTGTAAATCTGATACTTTAGAGGGTATGGCGACCTAGTAAAGTGGTCAGATTGTCAACCCTCCAAGTAGTAGGTTGGGTATTCAAATCCTATCAATAGTGAAAATTTGGATAATCACCTATGTAATATTTATATTACAGCAACTGCTACTAATGATTGGGTTAGGATATCTGTAATGGCAATCACACTAGCATGACTGGTAGGTCATAGAACATTTATGTAACAGATTACATGACATTGTTCTTTGGAACAAGATTGTGGTTATACAAAGGAATGCAAACCAGCAATAGGTAGTGCAAACACTAGACAAGTCCTTGTAGCTATGTAAATCTGTTGAAATTGGGTAACAAGAAGTCTATTTGGAAAGACTTGAGTAGAGAGGTAGGCAGATCTTCGATTGCTCTACTGTAAAGGCTAGTCTTATAAAATGAATACCAAGGTCAAAGTAGCCAAACAGGCAAAAACCTCTAGGTGTAGTGTACCACCAACCAGGCTGCCAGATCGAGCCAGAGGAAAAGGATATTAGGCTGACCTGATATACCAATAGACTGGTTATAAATCCTATCAGGCTATCTGGATTGGGAGTTTGGTGAACCAGCAGGGGTATACTAAAGTATTCGAATATGCTGTGAAGTAGATGCTAGGGTTTGTGTGAACTCTACAAGGGCATAGCAGTTTAATAGTTAGCCCTGACCACAAGT